GTCAAGACAGGTCAGGTCGGCAACAGGATTAGGATACAAGAGACAGCAGACAAAGGAAAGTGGTAGACCAGATGGCAAGGACTCCCAGTGTAGCAGTGGTTTAAATAGCCCGCCTGGCACCAGTCTAGTGGCAGGTGTGCATGCCAACGTGCACGCCGGCGCACACGTGTGTGCACGGGCACGGTTGATAGGCAATTGGCATTGGCACATAAATGTGCACCTAGGCATTCTCTGTTTTCTCTGACAGCGGCTCATGATGTCACTGTGCCCGGCCACTTATGGCCTCGCATGCTCACCGCACATGAGCACTAACCCACCATATGCATGGCGGGGGGCGCCCCCCCATCGCCATCATGGACCATCAGGGAGAAGCAATGCCCATAGAACACCGTGGCCTGGCCCCCGCCCGGCACAGCGAGGACCTCGGTCACGGTGCCACCAGCCACCCATTGATTACAGGGCCCACCAAACAGGAACATGGAACCCCCCTTATTTTTTTTTACGTCTATGTATGTATAATAAACTTAGATTCCTTTATTAATCATTGTTGTAGTGTCTATAAAGTCCATAAGGGTCTTTTTTTTCCAACATAAAACACTAGTTGAAGGGGGAGAGACTTAGAAACTCAGTTAGTTATTAAAATACCCCTTTGGTTTAGTAATAACACACAAGGGGAGAGTGCTTCCTTAGAAGCGTAAGTGGTTCTTTAGGATCTGTATAAGGGACAGTTCCAGTTCCAGTTTGGGGGAGAGTTGTCCTCTGCTAGCAAAGGTGGGGCCCGTAGGCGATGATAGATACTTATAGGTCAGAAATGTTAAGCAGATAAATGATTGGGGCTCTAACAGCAATGGTTTCATTATAACTGAAGTGCAAAGATGTCTGCTAGTAGGGTCTCTAAGCAGTTAAATTGCAGACAAAGATTGGGCTTCTGCCCACTCACAAATCCTGATATGGATGCAGCCACTGTGAGAAAGGGTGTTCTGTGTTGGCTCTTGCATCTCAACTGAGTAGCAAGGGTTGGTAACTCAGCAAGCTGTAGTAGGAGTATGGCGATGGACTGTGAGAGCTTCAGACCTCAGATGAACAGCTGCGGCACCTAGTCTAATGATCTACTCAGCTATGCAGATTTGCTGTCTCAAATTTTACTGTAACCAGCTAGGCCACAAAGGTCCGTTGTCACTGTGTACAAGACGGCAGCCTCCAACTGTCCTGTCTGCAGTCCCGAGCCAAGAGAGCGAGCCCGGCAATTGCACTCAAATATAAATGCAGGGAAATTTGACCTATGATATTATGTAGGTCGAACTAGAAGGTGAGCAGGGAGTGTGTTCACAAGAAAAGCAGCATTTTGTTGAAAGCAGATGTCAGCTCTATATTAGGACTTTTTTCACTACTTTTCACAGTTTATATTTTGTGGACTGATGTTTATGATTTGATCTTTATTGTTTGGCGTTTTATGGTTCTTAAGGAGTTAGTGCACCACATTTAATTCATTATACAAATATAAAGGATCTCTCACAATTCTCTTTGCTAGACCAGCCTCCTGGGATGTGTAGTTCAAACAGCACTCAGGAATACAGTGCGGGGTGGCGGTGGTGATATGGCTGCGATAAGCCTTTAGCACTAATTTTAATTGGGGCCTAAATCAATAAAGCTATACCATTTATTTATAAAGGGGTCATTTAAGTAAAACTAAAGGAATCATCTTTTATAGTTTTGGATAGAGTGGAGAGGGATTAGAGCTCTTGTCAGTTTTTATTGCTGTCTTTGCCCCCATTAAGGATATTCACCCTTTTTGTCCTGTTTACCATTTTCATTGAAAGTGAAAGTAAAAGAAAATCCCAAATTTTGGGTTGTCCCTATTTTGGGTTGTCCCTAGACCAGAAAAGTAATAGAGGGTAAATCTTCCAATGGAGGCACTAGTTCTGTTGACCTGGGGGTCCCCAAGGAATTCCCTTAATTTGCAGGGATTTCCTCTCACTGTTTGGCTATGGGAGAGGAAGTGAAAGAAAATCTCCACAATGAGACACAAATGGAGAAAAAAAAAGTCTGACAGGGGTTATAACCCTCGCTCTATCCAAAGCGACAGAAAGTTTTGCCTATAGTTCTACTTTAATAATAAGCTAAACCACTGGGTTATAAATGGGGCTTAAATCAATATGGCTAAGCCTAAATCATTGGTGCCCCTGATGACTATTTACATTTGACAAAACGCGTTGGGAAAAAAAAACAGAAGCTGTGACGTCACCACGCATGCATGTGCACTGCCAAGAATTCTGGGATATGTAGTTTCAATGTGGATTTCTACACACAGCATTTACGTAAAGTGTTTTTTAACCAATTTTAATAATTGTACCTGTGGATTTACCCTATTGGAGGTAGTGTTTTGGTTCTTTTTCATATCTTATGCCCTGACCTTGACTGAGATGGAGCTGCTGAGACCTGTGATGATTTACTGCAATAGTGGCCACAAGCACTGTTAGGCTCTCCAGAGAGTGTGTGACTCTCACGTGAGAAGCCACAGAGTGGTTGGTGGAGGACATATGGTGTTATACATAGGTTATGAACTAGTGGAGGAGATCACATCATTGCATTTTTATGTGTGGCATCTTTCACTATGAATTCACTGGTGGAAGCTGTGAAGTGTGAATACTTTCATAAATGACACTTTAGACTTTTTGTTATTATCATATTGTGATTTGTTTTTGATTTGTATAGTTTATTTTTCAAGCGCTGCACTCGTACATATCCAATAATGCTATACCACTGCTTTATAAATGGACCCTAAATCAATAGAGTTATACCATTGCTTCATAAATGGAGACTGAAATCCCTAAGGCTATGCCGCTGCTTTATAAGTGGGCCTTAATTGTTCAGATTTGTACATAATGTCTGCGGCTTTTATCCAGTGATGGATCATTTTGACATGCGGTTTTTGGCGCTAACCTCTGCTTATTTTTGTGTACTAAGAATGAATTGCCCACCTTGGTGACATGATTAACATGACCAATGAGCTGAAGTGGTTTAGTACGGCTGATGTAAAGCACAGTGTGTGTAAAGTGTGTCCTTTAATCCAAGAGACTAAAGTTAGTCTTCAGAAAAATGTATGCTGGTCAAATGACATTTGTGCTATCTACTTCCACATTCATCTAGTGTATGTCAACAATGGGAGATTTTATTAGCTGCATTTTCCAGGAAAGTCACAGCATAGTTTCAGACTATGTTGTAAATAGACTGAGCTGTGTCCAGCCCTAAGACCTTTCACCAAGACTGGAAATCCTGCAAGTCTTGGAATATCTTCACTAACAAGGTTAACCAGCAACCCTCAAAACAGAAATTTGAAGCCATTTGTGTTATAATCCTTTGGAAATAATTGCATTTCTAGGCAAATCCACTGAATACCGTTGACAGCTGAGACATTTCAATCATAGCACCACATATCATTAGATTTGAAGTGATTGGCTGGAGGGGACAGTGAGATAGTTTTTCATGATGTTCTATTCAGCCCTATTTTTACATAGAGACAAAAAAAAAAGAAATGTATCACATTTGTTCTTTAAGTAAAATTCCAAAAAAAAACCTCTATGTAGCACCCTCCTAGTTCAACTAGGAGGAGCTAGATCCTTTTGGTTAGTCAAGAGCTGGTTAGCAGTTCAGTTGAGATAGCCACAGGGGTCAAATTCTGGTCAGGGCTGAGAGGCTCTGCAGGCCAGCTCCTCTGGAATTTCTACCTGCTCTGAGGCTTTCGGAAGAGGGCATTGGTGGCAATGGGTGGATCTGAGTAGTGGCTGGATGCACTCTTGAGGGACCTCAGCCAATACCCAACTGAAGGCTTGGCAAGGGGCTGGGATTCCCTTAAAATGTGTTAGAGCCTGCTTAGTAGCAGGAGTGTATTGGTGGTAGAGGAGTGTGGAGCAGGAAGATGTGAGGAGAAGGAAGGCTGCCAGGAGGCCTAGTGGGAAGGAGCCTAAGTGCGAGCCTGGAGCCTGAAAGGAGGAAAACTCAGGACTCACTGCCCCCGTGAGAGAGGACCACCTGTATGGCAGGGAAGGAGCAGCTAAGCTGATAGGCCTGGTAGCAGCAGCCATCCTGCAAGTGGTACAGGAGAGGATCTGAGTGAGTACACCTGCACCCCCTGGGTGGATAGGGGAAGGAGTGCTCTGGTGAGAAACCAGATTAGCCATCTGTTAGTGACTGGGCACCTTATTTAAAGGAACAGGAGCCAGATCCCCTGCTTAGGAAGAAAGTCTCCAGATTGCTGGGTGAAGAGGGGTTCATCTAGGGTCTGGGATGGTACAACTAGGAGCTGCTGGCTAGCACTCCAACAGAGACTGTGTCAGAGAAAAGAAGCTGTGAATAGTTCAGGAAGTTGTCCTCAGATATCAGTTCCCATGGGCATCCTATTCCCCCTTATCCTGTCCAAGTTCTAATCCCCTCAATAAAATAACAAAACAAAACACTGAAGAACTGATTTCTGACTCCAAGTGCAAGCCTGTATGGAAAATGCTAAATGGCTGGCTGTGCAGGAATATAGGAGGACCCAAATTCATCAGCAATCCCTAAGAGGGTAGGGTTACATTTAGATCAGCTTTAGTGATCTCATCCACAGATCCTTACCTGCTTCTCTTCTGTAAATACTAATTCAGGTCCTGTTAGTGCCCCTGATGAAACATTTAAACTGATATTAAGCACACACTGTTTAACTTACACTATCCTCTTACACTATAGCTCTGTATGTATGAGGATGATGGCACTGTATTTATTTTCAACAACACAATTGTTGTTGAATATACCATGTGTCATATACCACTATATTGCCAAAAGTATTGGCACACCCCTATAAATCATTGGATTCAGGTTTTCCAATCACCTCCATGGCCACAGGTGTAAAAAATCAACCACCTAGGCATGCAGACTGCTTCTACAAACATTTGTGAAAGAATGGGTCGCTCTCAGGAGCTCAGTGAGTTCAAGCGTGGTACATCATAGATTGCCACCTGTGCAAAAAGTCCATCCGTGAAATTTCCTTGTTACTAAATATTTCACGGTCAACTGTTAGTGGGATTATAACAAAGTGGAAGCAACTGGGAACAACAGCAACTCAGCCATGAAGTGGTAGGTCATGTAAAAATGACAGAGCGGGGTCAGCGCATGCTGAAGCGCACAGTGCGCAGAAGTCACCAACTGTCTTCAGAGTCAATAGCTAAAGATCTCCAAACTTCATGTGGCCTTCAGATTAGCATGACAACAGTGCATATAGAACTTCATGGAATGGGTTTCCATGGTCGAGCAGCTGCATCCAAGTTTTACATAACCAAGTGCAATGCAGAGAAGTGAAGATGTGTTCTCTGGAGTGATGAATCACACTTCTCTGTCTGGCAATCCAGTGGACGTGTCTGGGTTTGGCGGTTGCAAGGAGAACGGTAATTGCCTAACTGCATTGTGCCAAGTGTAAAGTTTGGTAGAGGGGGGATTATGTTGTGGGGTAGTTTTTCAGGGGTTGAGTTTAGCCCTTTAGTTCCAGTGAAGGGAACTCTTAAGGCATCAGTATCACAAGTGTAATAAAAGCGCCACACTCTTAATACTTTAAAGCAGCAATTCCACCTCAAAGAAACCAAATAAATTTCTTAGTGCTATAACTTAAATAAAGGAATGCGCTAAAACCACAAACTGTTCCTAATTTAGTGTAGAAACATTAGTGCAATATATATATATATCTATACTCAATTAATATCAAAAAATATCAAAATTATGTGCAAAACAATTTTTTAGTGCATAAGTAATTTAAATAATTCAATTTGTGAATATAAAAAATGTCCAATTCTGAATTTCTTCAAATGTCCAAACAAATCCTTTTCAAATTCAGGTGCTCTCAAAGAAATTGTGCCAAAAATCCACCGCCAAAGTAAAGTTGGGTAACTCACCAGAGCTCCATGCTGATCAATCTCTAGATCAGCAAAAAACGCTTTTTGCTCTGGGAGCAGATGCAATGAATCAACTTCTCAGGTGTGATGATCAATAGTTACGCAATCATCCATAAGGTAGGTATCCACCACTCAATATAATGGTTCCAGGAGCATTATATCACTCTCTCTTTTTATATCTCTCCACCGAGGTCATGTTTGGGAATGAAAGAGAAAATCATGGTGCAGCCAGTTTTTTTTATAAAAGTATCCAACAATTTAATAAATATTTACACTCACAAAAAGGGTGTCTTCACCGACACCAGTATAACAGCATAAAACAGCAAATGGTCTCCTGTTCCCCACACACTCACTACAGCGCTCGTGACTCAATTTTCTCCACAGACGTCAGCATCCAGGAAGCCCTACTAGTTTCGTCATGAATGACGTCTTCAAATATATATATATATATATTTTGCACTAATGTTTCTACACTAAATTAGGAATAGTTTGTGGTTTTAGCGCATTCCTTTATTTAAGTTAAGGCATCAGTATACCAGGACAATTTCATGCTCCCAACTTTCTGGGAACAGTTTGGGGATGGCCCCTTCTTGTTCCAACAGGACTGCGGACCAGTGCACAAAGCAAGGTCCAGAAAGACACCGATGAGCGAGTTTGGGGTGGAGGAACTTGACTGGCCTGCAACCCAATAGAGCATCTTTGGGATTAATTAAAGCGGAGACTGCAAACCAGGCCTTCTCATCCGACATCAGTGCATGACCTCACAAATGCATTTCTGGAAGAATGGTCAAACCTTCCCATAGCTACACTCCTAAACCTTGTGGACAGCCTTCCCAGAAGCATTGAAGCTATTATAGCTGAAAGGGTGCGCCAACTCAATATTGAACCCTACGGACTAAGACTGGGATGCCATTAAAGTTCATGTGTGTGTATAGGCAGGCGTCCCAATACTTTTGGCATTATAGTGTATATGAACGTGTGCATTCTCCCACCTAGATTGTAAGCTCCAAGGAGCAGGGCTCTCCTATCCCTCTTGTATTGAACTGTATTATTGCTGTATTGTCTCCATTTATTTTGTAAAGCGCTGAGCAAACTATAAATGGCGCTATATAAATCCTGTATAATAATAATAATTCACCCAATAGTGCAATAATCATAATACATAAGTCCACCAAAAATTAAATATTATCTAGTGACACTTGAAATCCTCTGATCCTCTTGTGATTTCCACCACTTCCATAAAATCAGCCTCTTACCAAAAAGAAAGACCACAAAACATGAGAGGTCCAATAGCATTTTGTAGATGCCTAAGGACCTTCACCGCACTCCACCACAGAGATCAGGAACCATGGGGCACTCCACTAGGGATCAATAAGAATCGGCTAAAACCAGCACCTGCGCTAAGCAAGCATCAGGATTCTGGTAAGAAACGGTTGACAAAGGCTTCATGGTGTAAAACCGCCATATTGTTTGTTAATATGAGAGAACAGTACTCATATAAAACAAAATGTACAAGAGACATCAAACAAACTAGCAGTCAGCACAGGCTCCACCCAGTGTGTTTCATTCTAAGAGACGTTCTCAAGAGACCGGGACTGTATTTATTTTAACAACAACAAAAAAAATCTAAGTATCCTTTTTTCATAATCGGTACACAGCTGTCACATGACCCAGTTCTTATCCAGTTCATCAGAAGTAGACAAACATCAACAGGAGGAACTTCTTGCCCTCTGATGCCAATCACATGTTAAAAAAACAGCCTTTGAAATACAAAGGAAAAGCACATACCTAATATCAAATAAATATTTTAAATCATTATACATATATATATTTGAACTCAAATCTTTATTATTTTTGTGCAAAAACATGTTGTAGACTATCTAGGAGGAGGTTCTTTCAATCACAGCCTTCTTAACACCCCTCCAGTCTGTATCTATTGTTTGTAGGTGGTTAGGATTACAAGGAGGTGAAGCCTCCATCAATCAGTGTTTACAATCCCGCCATCATTGAGTTTAGCTGTTTAGTGGGAATGGGGGAGGAGGGAGCGAGTGGGCTGTCATTTATCCTTGTGTACATATCCACTTGTAGGACTCTATGGTCACATGGGTTACACAGATAAGAAAAAAGAGAAAATGAATAGTTTCAGAAGGCAACTGAAACTGGAGCATGCTCAGTAGATGTGGTCTACACAATCTCAGGCTGCAGTGGGGACACGGAGGGAGGGACAGTATACAGCAGACCAACCAGATTTTTTGCAGTATACAGAAAACTGTAGTGACTGAGTACAAACAGCATGTAATACAGCATGCACTGACAGTTTTTAATTATGTGGGTTTAAAGTGATCGTAAACTCAATGTTTTTATGTAACAAAATAACAAACAGGTTTATACGTATCTGCTCTGTTCAATGGAATTGCACAGAGCTGCCCTGATCACCCGGCAGCATTCCTGGTTCCTAACCTTTGGCGAGTGCCCCCATAGAAAGCCACTTTCTATGGGGGCAGTCATGCGGGCTTGCTTCCAAACCTCACTGTGTTTTCTGTTGATGCAGATAGCAGGATTCACCCTGCTCCCTTGTCAGGAAGTGACCAGGAAGTGAGGGGAGAGAAGAGATACAGATGTGCACAGCACTGGATCGAGTAAGGGCTCAGGTAAGTGTAAGGGGGGGGGGGGCAGGGGTGAGGGGGGATACTGATGAGTAAACCATTTTTTACCTTATGCAAGGATTGTATTAAGGTTTAACCTCCCTGGCGGTATTCCCGAGTGTAGCTGGGGGTAAACTTTCAGTACCAAAAGCGGTAACCCCGAGCTACACTCAGGATTACCCTGCAATGTTGCTCCGGGATCCCTGTTTCACTTACCTTGTCCTTTGCTCCCGCGATGTCCCCCCTGCAGTGTCCCCGGCCATCTCCTCCGGCAGATGCCGGCATCCATCTTCTGGGTTCCGTTCCCTGCAAGTATCAGGACGTACGGGACGTACGGGGGATGGAACCGGTGGGAAATTCCAAAAATTTTAAAAGTGACATTCACTCAATACACTAAAATCACACAGTATAACATTACTGTATCAAACCATTTCACATACATTTTGTCCCGAGTGCTTTGTCCTGTTCCCTGCCTGCATTTTTACTGTTCTTTCTGCCTGGAAACTGAGAAACGTCCATGGCGTCCAAAAAGCGTACCTTTAGTTCAAAAGCAGTTTTAGACCAGCTAGAGAACAGCGATTGTAAATCAGAACCACTTGCAAAATTGAGTGATAATGATTCGTGGGGAAATTCGCCATCAGACACTGAAAATGATTCTGCAACTTTGCTCAGTGATGTGTGAACTTGGCGCTATATTTCAAATTTCAGTGTTTTTGGTTTGATTATATTATTGAATTAAATTTATTATTATTATATTATTATTTTTTATGATTATTTATTATATTATGATTTATGATCTCGTGTTTCAAGTTTTATCCTACCCGGGGATGTTTACTAGACTCTTGTTCGGATTTCAGATTTTCAAAAAGTTCCATTCCAATAAAAAAAAAAAATACAGGCTTTACTTGAGCACAGAAATATGGACATAATCAGACCGCTAGGGAGGTTTAAACAGTTTAGGCTTTAGAACCACTTTAATGACACTTTAGGGCAGTGCTACGTGCAGGGCATGATCAATCCAAGCGCTTGCATACCCCTTGGCATCTCGTTAGGTGAACAGTGATCTTTGCATGTATCTCACTGGTGCTTTGCTTCTGTAAATTTATCTGCAACTGGGAGCAAGACATAGGCACAGATTACTTGCCTGGTAGGGCTTGTTTGCATGAATGGCACTCCCTGAAAAGAGATACGCACTGAATTGCTTGTCAGAGGGTGATTCAGCAGTGACTGCCAGGCATTTAGAAGGTTATACTGCTGCCTCCTTTTTTCAGCTAAATGGGGATTGTGAAGAGAATACCTTGCTGCAATTGTAAAACAAACAACTGGTTAAACCATGGCCCCATTAACTTAAATGGGCCGTGTTTTGTGTTGGTACTGGCTGCTGACTTCAACCTGTTGCATGAATTGTACAGTGACTGCAATACTGTGTATTAAAGTGGAGTTCCACCCTGTCAAAAAATAAAAGTCAGCAGCTACAAAAACTGTAGCTGCTGACTTTTAAAAAACAGCCACTTACCTGTCCCTCAGTCCTGTATTCCAGGAGGCTGGCATCTTCAGTGTGGGCACCCGGCTGTGATAGCTTGCGGCTTCACAGCCGGGTCCCCACTGCTCATGAGCTTCATGAATGGTCCTGTAGTCTTCTGGGACCTGTCACGTGTCCCAAAAGACTACAGGGAGGACACCTTCCATTTCCGATTGTCTAGGCGATCTTACCGGAAGTGGGAGCGGGTACCTGTCAAATTTGGGTACCTGCTTCCCCCCCCGCCCCCCAAA